ACTCCCTTATCATACATTCGACTAGTTGTAGCTTGCTCGGTTATTGCTAAAACCATATTAGATTGATTGTGCACATCTTCTTCTTCACTTTCATAGTACCAATCATCTCGAAGTACCATTACCTTCTTATTGGGACAATAAGATTCATAATGTCCTCTTCCTTTACACTTGAAGATTGTACATTGGCAGATAAACCCGGTTTGACACTAGGTCTTCTCCAATGACTTGGTAACCTCGGCCGGTTTAAGCAACTGTTTAGGTTGACTAGAACTTGGAGCCGTCTGCTTCTTAGGAGTACTCCCCCACCAATTTGATCCAAAGGATGATGTACCAGTGGAAGATGTCCTTAATCTTCTTGCGGCCTTAGATTCCTTCATTTGCCTCTCAATAGTGTCAGCCTTATCCACCAAATCATCTAGATCATGATAAGACTGTAACTCCACTCTATGTCGAATGGGAAGGTTCAAACCATGTAGAAACCTTGTTATACTTTGTTCCTCATCTTCTTCCAATTGACATTTAAGCTTCAAAGTATTCGTGTCTTGGTAGTATTCCATGACCGAACTACTTCCTTGCTTAAGATCTTGCAACTCACCTCAAAGCTTCCTTTGAAAGGACACTGGGACAAAAGCCTTTCGCATTACACGTGAAAGCTCTCCCCAAGTGGTGATTGCGGGATCATCGTCTCTTCTTCTCCGACGTTGTACCTCATTCTACCATGTAGAAGCATATCCATGAAATTCTGACACATCTAAATTCAGCTTCTTTCCCTCAGAATAATTGTTGAGATTAAAGATCCGGTTGATATGATCTTCCAAATCAATATACGCATCAGGATCTGGCTTGCCACGAAATTCTGGAATCTTCTGCTTGATAGTGTTCATGTTATCATCAAATCTAGGCTGCCTTTGTCGATCATGCCTAAATTCTTCTTCATGCTCAACACCATCATCATCATTTTGTTCCCTTGGAATTTCTTCTCGCTCTCTTTGACCATCTTCTTCTCGGTCACCATCTTGTCCCTCATTACCACATCCACCACCTTGACCACGCCCGGCATTGCCACGTCCGCCATGGATGTTCCAACGTGCAACAAGGTTAGGTCCAAGATTTACCAATGGATCCCTAACTTGGGCAAGTTGGTTTATTTGACGAGCAGTTTCTTCTTGTTGGCGAGTGGTCTCTTCTTGTCGTCGTTGTTGTTGTGTCATTGCCATCGTCATAAGTTGCAATTGATTGGTTAATGCCGCAATCTTATCTTTAAAATCTTGCACAGTATCATTCAACATTCCATGTTGAGGAGGAGGTAGAGCTTTGTCTCCCATGTTTCCTGAAACACAACTCAACACACACAAGAAAAAGAAAAAGAATATCGAAGAACTCACTTCCTAGTTACCCCTCCCAACTATTCTATTCACTCCTCAAGATCTCTCAAGAAGGTTTAGAATTTAGTAAGGGATGGATTCACTCTATTCTTACTACTGTCTTTGTCTTTTAATCCTTTGTGTAATGAAGACTAGTGCTACAAGAAGTACTTTATTGAAGCAATTAAAGAGGATCAAAAAGTAAGGTTCTGAAAATAATTGTAACAAGGTCTAAGGAAGAACTCGAACATAGATCGAGTAGTTACAATTATGAAAACGTAGATCTCACAAAAGACTAATAGAACTTGGAACAAATTCTGAAAAAGGTTCGACTTAGGGTTATGGATAAAACCCTAGTTTCGGCCAATACACCAATAAAGGGGTTATATTTGCGAAACCCTAGCCACCAAAGGTCCAAGTATTTCGAAAAAGATATGTGCAAATAATAGTAATTGCACTTCAAATCAAACTCAAATACCAATATCCTTCTATGCCGTCTTTCTTTTTATTTTTACTTTTTTTTTTCACGGCTATTTTTTTTTTGACTCAATAAAAAAGAAGTGGATTAGGGATTAAGATACCCTAGATCCGATAATTTAGGGGAAGAAACGTTTTTTTTTTTAACTAACAATAATGGATCTAACTATAACAACTTCAATCAAATCAAACAAGAATACAATCAAAGCAAAATAGTGAGATCTATAATAAAAGACTCAAAAATTCAAAAGAACAATTAGAGATCTAACCAAAGATGAGCTTTAGTAGATCAAAACAAAAACAAGTCTTCAAGAACCTAGCTCTGAGGCCAATTGATACGAAGTATCAATTTGCACTTGACTCTACTTGCAAGTTTTCAAAAACTAAGGCTCTGAGGCCAATTGATATGAATATTGAGGCAAAGGTGGCAGATTTACCTCGACGCAGAAGCTATGAATTTCCCAGGACTTGAAAACTTGCAAATCCAATATTATGGACTCCACAACTCATGAAAATTAAAAGAAAAGAAGAGATGCAAACCACAAAAATTTGCACCAAAAAGGAATGGAAAGGTTTAGAAGATGTAGAAAGTGTTTAAGGTTAGCAACCCAATTGGTCACCTCTCTAACAACCCTATCCCTTCGATTTATGGATAGAACGGCTAGTGAACAGGCTCCAATGAACAACTAACAAAGCTCCACAAGTAGAAAAATACCTATTCTACTCGCATGCATCAACAAAGCACAAGCTTGTGTGCAATGCACTAATTTTCGAAAAGAGTAGAAAAAGAACAAAGAGTTTCCTCTCGTTTCATATTGAAATAATTCATCAAAGGTACAAATGAAATGTTGGCCAAACACCCCTATTTATAGTAGAGGGGGCCGAAATTCTCCTATGAAGTAGGAGAAGAGTTTGATCTCTAACTCTATTCCTACTTTAAAGAACTAGAAATCAACTTAACCTCTAATTGATAACTTGTGTCTTATCTATTAAGGCAATGTATCTAGACACCTTTATAGACTTAAGACACACTAGTTTAATGAAAATAAAACTCCAAATACAAAGAGATATTCTCTCAAAAGAATCTTATCCTTATCTTGAAAAGAATCTTCCTGAGTTGTCAACTCTATCAATATCTTCTTTGTAGAGTAATCATAGCCATCCAATCTTGATCTAATCTCCATCCAACGGTTGAGAGTAGACACCAAGGAATAGACTTTTTATTTTGAATAAACTCTAAATTAGATAAAAGAGAATCATATCAAATCTTATCCTTCCATGTGATAAGATTTAAATGAACTTATCTCTAAAAGATAGGGAATCTTCCAAATCTTATCCTTCCACAAGTGTGATAAGATTTAAATGATTTTATCCCTAAAAGATAGAGATTCCAACTCCTAAAAATTAGGAGATAGGGCTGGCCTCCCTTGCTTGGTTTGTGGGCCGAAATTTCCTTCCTCAAATAGACCTCGTAACACATTAATAATCTTGGGCTTGTAACTTCCAGACTTGACATTCTCTTGGGCTAAACCATTTGATATAAGATTATTAAGTGCACTCCTCATCCTTTTACTTCTAGCTTGAGTCATTGGGCCTCCAATGTTGGATAATGGATCTTGAGCTATTCCTTGAGCTTGGATAGTACTTGGAACCCGAACACCTTGATCATCTTGGACTTGATTACCATGGATGTTCACATCAACTTCAACTTCTTTTTAGTGAAGAATCGATAGAAGCTGGAGGGATATTCATTACTCCATGCTCTTTCAATTGGTACCAAACTTAAAGTTGGTGATGACGATAATATTGGTAATGGTGGCAGAATGAATCATCAAAAATGCATAAACTTGTGTGGGTGCTTTGCTGAATGTTACAAAACCAAGGAATTTGGGTGCATAAATGCATGTGTCATAGCTTCTGGTAATTTTTCTGAAGAACACTGCAATGAGGAGTGTAGGAAATTAAAAGAGTGTCATGCTTGCCATACCACACAGAATATCTAATGAAGTAGATTCCAATGTTCTAATATTTTATTTGTACCGAAAATGATCATTTAGTGTCATGCTACTTGCCAAACCACACACAATATCTATATGGATGGCAATCCATCATCATCATGATCTGTTTTTAATTTACTAATGAAGTAGATTCCACTGTTCTAATTATATTCCTCTTGCACCGAAAATGATCGTTCAGTAGTAGTGTCATTTGAATGTTCGAACTTGTTATTTAAAGATAATACTCCAGCAAATCAAAAAATCATTTCGGATTAAAAGAAATAAAATCATTGTTATAGTTTTTGATGTTGTCGTAGCGAGGAGTGTGAACTGGTTTTTGTTCATTTTGTATTTCTATTTAAAAATTTTTAATTTATACAATGTTCTCAAGTTGTATAGTTTATCGAATTATTTTTAGTTTTTATAATAATGACGTTATAATTGCAGTTCTGTTACATTCTTTTACTTATAAAACATTACTTTGATTTTTCACTCGACAACTCGAATCATTAACATTCTTACATTTGAAATGTAAAAATAATTATGAAGTATAATGTGTAAACTAACCATCTAATTGAAAAGGTTCCAATCTTCAAATAAACTCGCCAAAATCAGGGCACCATTGCGACATGGTTTGATACAAAATAATTACGAGTTTGCTTAAAACTAAGACGGTAAATAAATTTTTGTGGAATTTTCGTCTTTAATTAATTCTTATGGTTATTTGACGTTAAATGCCGCGTCCGGCGAGAACTTTCCTAAAACTAAACTAGGGCAAAAATTTCCTAATTCGATTCCGAATTGGATTTGTGAAGTTTTAGGAAACTCTTATAAATCTATAAATATAAGTTACCCTACTTCCCAATTCTCAGAAATCAGATTAAGAGAGTGCAATCCGAGATCTGATTCCAGAGAGAGAGAGAAATCGTCTCTGTTTTGCTAATTTCTGCCTCTGCAATTCTTCATCGGAGAGATTAATTAATTTGTTGCAAATAACGCTTCAGGGTGTGAGAGAAATTGCCTCTGTTTTGGTAATCCGAGAATGGGTTTTCCGGTGGGGTTCAGATTCAATCCCACGGAGGAGGAACTCGTGAGCCATTACCTCAAGAACAAGATTCTGGGCATCCCTTTATCAGATTCCGATTCACAGTTCTTAATCGACATGGACATGTACGGCAAGGACGCCACTCCCTGGGACTTGTTCTCCTCCGACCAAAAGAATCGGTTTATTATTCCATGGCTTCCCTCCTTTGATCCCTCGGGAAACGTGAAGGTTTCAGAGGCGGTTCTTTATGTTCTGACCAAGCTTTCCAATGTTGGGAAAACAGAGAAATCCGAGAAGAAGCAGAAGAACAGGGTGGCCGGATGTGGAACTTGGCATGGAAATACAACGAAAGAGCCGGTCACCGAAGCTGATGAGAACGGAGAGTATTCCAGAGTGATCGGGTTCCGGCGATCTTTCACTTTCAGGTCTTCAACCCACGAAACAGTGGGACAATGGAATATGATGGAATACAATATCAACCCGGTAGCCCATAACATCAATCCTGCCCAATTCAATTGTGAGGATATCGTCTTGTGTAAAATCAAAAGAGACGACTCAAAGAGTTCCTTGGGTGGAAGACTGGTCTCTAGAAAGAGGAAATTATGTGATGATAATGCAACCGAATCAAGAAAGAAATTGAATATCTGTGATGATGATGAGAAGCTGAGGATTGCCATACCAGAGCCGCCATTATTACCAATCCAAATCGATGAGAATCTTGAATCAGGCAATAGCAATCTATTAGGTGGAATGTCTGGTGGTAGTACTAATTGTGTGGAAGCTTCCGGAGAGACAATTCCAAATCTGGCAGATTCAGAAACCACTGGCTGCCATTTTGATCCAATTGTAGATTTGGATTCAACAAGCAATTTGGGCAATCTGTTGCAGCAGGGGAATGAAGGAAACATATGGGAGTCTAACTTGGGCGAAGATGTTATGGAGGAACTGCTGCTGCAATGGAAGGACGAAGACATATGGGGACCTAACTTGTGGGATGGATCACTAATTGGGGTAGCTTGATTGACATAGTGGACTATTATTATTGGGAAAAAAAGGATCCCGAAATCAATAGTGAATGAATTTTTGTAAGTGTGTAGAGATCAGAGAGTGTTAAAAATGACAGCAGAGATCAATAGTGACTGAGATTTGATTGTCAACTGTATGATAATAGTTTATAGAGTCAAGTGTGTCAAAATGGCAGTAGAGACTAGAGAGTAGACATTTATGCTCCTAAGAAACTTGATGTCAATTGTATAGATTGCTGAGGTTGATTTGCTTCATCACTTTGATGATATTCTGATTTGTTCATGTGTTTTATCTACTTATTAAATTCATATGAAGTGATTAAGAGCTTCCTGTGTAGACGATTGGAAAAGCTTAGTTCAATTCAAATGAATTTTTTAGAAATGCAAAGTTGTACTCTCCTCAAAATGATTGTCCGATTTTGATTTTCACTTTCAGTACAAAGAGAGTTTGTAAATCTCCTTTTCAAAGAAAAAAACACTCCAACATTATTTACTTTAAAAGCAAGTTCTACCAACACTAAAATTTCACTTGTCTTTCTAACAAAGAGATTAGCACAGGAATTAACTTGCAACGATAGAAAAGAATAGCATGACCTTTATCCTGGCCGATCGCAATGTCTTTATACATAATGTTAATCGCAGATAGGAGATTTTGAGCTATAATTACTGTTTGCCTTGTTCCTCACCATTAACAGCTCTTCTACATGCATGTATATACGTATATATTTAGCCTTGTTGATAATTGATGGAATAGACATAACACAGTATCATTTTGTTGAGATTTTTCTATTTGGGGACAACCAAAAACAAATATATAAACAAGGCTAAATTACCATATATATATGCTATTCACATGACCACGAATCCATTAAATAAAATGAACATTCCTGAGAACAAAAACTTTAATTTCATATGACCAAGAATGTAATGTTGGAAATGAACTTAAATTTTGAATGACAACTTGATTTTTTCTAGAATAACTAGAAAACGAGATGATGTGGTCATCATTGGGCCATCTAGATCAGTGTTATTCCAAACTACGATGATGACTTTATTTTTGTAATTCTTTTGCGTGATTTGGAAGTTCAACGATGATTGGGGATTGAAACCCATATTGAAATTAAAAATATCTTAATTAGTTATTCTCTAATATAATATTTTTCATATTATTTTAATCAAAAGATTATTTTTTTTATATTTTTTGAAATATTAAATTAAGCATTACCGAAAATACCTCTCCCTTAAATGTCAACCTTTATTCTGTCACGAAGATTCAGACAAAACCGAGCCCAAGAACCCCCCAAATTTAAAGCGTAAAAAAATGTGAAAAAGATCAAATTAGTGTAAAATACAAATGTAATGGACCATACAAGTGAATTGTTAATGTTAAAGACCAAATTGAATTTTTTTTGGCAAAGATAAAGGACCATTTGAGCATATTACTATATGCAAAAAAATTAAGTTACACAAGTAATGAGAAAAAAAAAGGATTATAAAAAATGGTAAGTGAAGTAAGACATTTGCATAAAAAATATTTAAAAATTAATATGATTTTAATGAAGGTAATTTAGTCATATGATTTAGTGAGTTAATGACAAAATTAACGTGAACCTTACTAAAAGAAAATTTTGTTACCTATTTAACTATAATATTATTTCGTTCTCATTTTTTTTTTGTGTGGCTGGTTTAGGATGTTTGACCGAGATGTTGATAAAAGTTTTGTTTTAAAAATTCATCGCTACAGGCTCATAATACATATTTTGAAATGTAACTCTAATTTTGAACTCTTTAATTAAGAATAATATAATGTACTCTCAAGTTTCAACTGTACAAAGATAGTCATGTAGCAGCAACAACAGTATTGAATCAACCAATGCTGGTTGATCTTGATGAAGAAGAACATATTGTACAGCATTACTTGAATTAGTTTAGTTTTGTATTTTGTATAGTTATGCTGTATAGTTTAGCATATTAAATCTCGTACATTGATTAGATTGGTTGTGAATTAATCTAGGCGGTTGATTAGTGTACAGGTTAATTAGTTGCAGTTATTTTTTTGTATAAAACAACATTAATTATACTGGGAGGCTACTAAACGCCCTAAAAATTTCCCTTGAGCTCCCTAATTAAATACCAAATGACCATTTTACCCTTACATGATTTTATAAATTAAGAGTTTCAATTTCATTCTTTCAATTCCTAAATCAATCTTTCATTTCAAATTCTCTTAATCCAAACTCCTAAAAACTTAGATTCAATGGCTGATTGAATGAAACGGCTACGTAAAGAGCTACGGAAACTAAAGGTATGTAAATTTGGATTGTTTTTTTGAATTAGAATTATGTACGAGTATTTTAAAAAAAAAAAAAACCACCGCCCCGGCCGGCGAGGGAGAACCGCGCCGGGGCGTTAAGGAGTGGCGCAGAAATTTTCGCTACTCCTTACAGAGCTGGCGCGCAGATCCGCGCCAGCTCTGCACGCCCCGGCGCAGTTCTCCCTCGCCGGCCGGGGCGGTGGTGGCGCCATTTTCTTCACCGCCGGACGCTGGGGTGGCGAAGAAAAGTCTCGCCAGGCGGCCTGCGCCTGGCGAGATTTACCGGCGCCGGCCAGTTTTTTTTTTTTTTGTTAATTTGTTATATTATATATTTAAATTTAATTGTTAGTTATAAATTGTATGGTAATTGTAATTTAATTGTTACTATTAGTAATTGTAGGTCTTATGAAATTTAGTTCAATTATTTATTATTAGTTAAATTTATTAGTTATTTTTATTAGTTTAATTTATTTAGGAAACACTATTATTAAAAGTATATGTTTAATCTTCAGTAAATAAATTAGTTATAATACTTTTGTAGTTTTAGGAATTCAATTGTAGTTTTAGGGAGTTTAACGGTTTTTAAATTAAATTGGATCATTATGAAAGTTATTATAAATATAATTATAAAAAATATATTTATTGGAGTAGTCGGTTTAATTGTAATTAGCCTCAAAAAAATATCAAACATAGAAATTAAATACTTAGGATAGGAAAATTAAATAAATAAGTTCAAATTAAAAAAATACAAAAGGTTAGTAGATAATTAGGGTTAATAAAAAATATTTATTTAATTGTGGTTAAAATTAAATAATAAATTATATATTTATTTAATTATGGTTAAAAAATAAAAAAATAAATATGTAGATATTATTAATTGTACTTAGTAGATTTAATAAATTGTACACTTAAGATGTATAGTAGATAATTTTATAATTACGTATTTAAATAATATAAAACTGTATTAAACTAATTAATCTAAGTTACGTGTAAAATTTGAAACTTTTGTAGGATGGGATATCGCCTCTTGAGGGATCTGGACATCGACATGCAGTTACGCGTAATTTGTATGCCGAACATCGAGCAGAAAAAGAAAAAAAGTTAAAGAAAGTGAAAAATGTACATCCTACGTTTGGCCCACTTGGTGAGTCAGCCAACGTAGACGACGACGATGATGATGATAATTTTGAGGGAGATGAATCAGCAGAGGATAGTTTTGAGAGTGGGGGGGACGATGTGGATGAGGAGGATGACACATCCGAGTATTCCTCGCATGAGAGGAGGGATATACATATTGGAGATAACTCAGTACTGAACTCCATTGGTCGTACTGTTGATCAGACTCCAGTTCACCCTACCCGGGGGAGGGGGGGGGGGAAGTCGCTTGTTGGATTATCAACCCTGAATTTAGCTTACACTCCTGGTGGTTCCAGTGTTTGTGTCGGCCCACAGAGTACTCTTTTTAGAGGTCAGAGTACTACTCTTCAGCATGCAGGTCCGCAGAGTACTCTTTTCAGAGGTCACAGTACTACTCTTCAGCATGCAGGCCTGCAGAGTACTGTTTTTAGAGGTCCCCCTCTGACTACTCAGCCTCGTTCCCGTTTTGGTGGCGCATCCATTGGTGCCTCTATCCGTCCTGAGGCAGCTGCATCGTCATCAGGTACGTATTTGTAACAATTTCAGCATGCATTACTGCTTGGTCAATTTCTTAATTGCATTTGATTAAGTATTTATACACTATTCTTTATTCGGGTTTCAGGTACTAGCAGACGGTCTAAGGTTTCTACCGAAAAAACTGATGATTGGGTTGTGACAGACGACGTACCTGGCGGGCCATGTGATGGGTCAGTGATTCCTAGTTTTCTTGGCCACACTGCTTATCAGTTGTGGAATGGAGAACCAAGAGATTACCTGACGATGAAGCCAGCGAAGAAGAGTTTGTCTAGATTACATGGATGGTATGCGAGGTTACCGGAGAACGCACAGTTGCAGATTCAGAATACCGGTTTGTATCATCTGATTGATACCATGTATGATGATATTGACCTTGCGCTTATTTCTGCATTCATAGAGAGGTGGCAGCCCTTACAAACTCTTTCCACTTTCCGTTTGGGAGATGACTATTATGATGCATGATGTGGCACACATTTTGGCGATTCCACTTGATGGTTACTTGTTGACCTAACCTGCGGAAGCTGAGGTTTTAAAGATGCAGGTCGCGGGATTGCTTGGGATGCCGTTGACTGAGTTAAAGCGTGCATGGAGCCACGGAGGTGTGAGCGACATATTGATTGAGGAGTGTTGTCGCAGGGTCCTCCCCGCTGTTCAGGTGCAAGCTTGGGTGTGGATCTTGTTAGCCTCGACACTCTTCCTTGACAGGAGTGGGGGCAGGATCAGTGCTTCGCTTATGAATGAGCTGCACGGAAGTATCAACAATATTGCAGAGTACTCCTGGGGATCCGGTACACTAGTATTCCTCTACCGTCAGCTTGGTATTGCTAGTCGAGCAAGGTGTACCATGATGGCTGGTTGTATGACCCTTCTCCAAGCATGGATATATGAGTATTTCCCATGCTTCCAGCCCGAGACTGGACACCAGTTAGCTATAAGGGCCCGAAGCCTATTCATAGTCGTCTCTAGCAGATTCGTACGCAGCTCGACGCGATGACTGAGCAAGAGGTACACTTTATATTTTAATTCTGTGTATTGCGTAAGGGGTAGTTCATTGTGTACACTATAATAAATGTTGGTAACGTTCGCAGGTCGAATGGGAGCCATTTGGTCGCGAACAGGCGGCAGCATATCCGAGGACCATCTTCGCAGTGGGTGGATTATGTACCACGACTTCCAGGAGCCATACATGCCGGAGAGAGTGATACGCCAGCTTGGTTACTTGCAGTACATACCTCGTGCGCCGCTCACGCCGGTAGCTCAGTTTCGCGGGAAAAATGCGCACAAGTATTTTGTTGATCGTCCGATTGCCGAGACATGTAACTGTTGGGTTAGATTTCCGAAGTCAGAGTGCGTCAACCTCAGTCATTGTGTGCCGGTATCGTCTACTGAGGTAGGACAGGCAGCTGTAGATTACCTCGACTGGTACAGGAGCCATTCACATCTATTTCTACTGCCGGAGTCTGTACCGTCTACATCACGCATCCCAGGGAAGAACTGCACCACTTACGTAAGTTCAACTCTAACTGGAATACCCTTTGTTTAATAACACACGTACTATCTTTAAGGGATTAATATGGTTTTATTTAACATTTGTAGTGGATGCGTGAGATGGAGAAGTTGACTCGAGGTTGCATCGACGATTTGAAGAAACTCGATTTGGGTCTTGGTGAGGAGTGGGATACTCGCCTGGATGATGTCATCTTCCGGCACAGTCAGGCCCCATGACATTCTACTCAGTGCTTTTTCCTTTAAACAATTATCTACCGATTCTGTTCTTGTGAACAATATGTACTTATGTCGATTTGCAATTTAAATTTTAATTTACGTTAAAATTTCACCAATTTCATAAAAAAAATATATATATACACAACATATCACCCGAGATCACAAAATTCCTGTGTGGGTCTTATCCAAGGTACCAAAGTACGCCATAGCTGTAGTCTGGGTTCAAAAGGTTCTTCCCAACCAATAACACTACTATCACGATCATGCAGCCAAATGGGGTGAATGGGGGGAATCGGAAAATCACCCTGCAGATTGAGTCGAATGAAGTGCGGGTAAGGCTCAAGGTGGCAAATAACTATCTGGAACTCTGACCTTGTTGCCCCGCCCCGTGCGCTCAGTGGTAGCACAGAACATGTGCCGTTTAGATTTTCAGCACCGTTGGTCTGAAGTAGTACACAACAGCATTGAAATATGTAGCAAGGGGATAAAAGTCCTCTGTCGACATCCAGTGACCTACGGAGGTACCAGACCACTGTATACGCTCTAGGCTTGCAGGTAATTTTTCTCACCTACAAAGACAAGTAAATGAAGGTTTTAAATAAAATAACATTGATGCAAGTGTATGAAAACTGCTCACCAAAATTAAACTGGCTTCATACCCGTAAAGGTTTCCGTACAGGCCAGGGTTATTTATAACCTCATCATAATATATCTGTCTGCACAAAATGTGATTATTCTGCCCTCCCAACATGCAACTCGCAAAGACGCGGAAACCACAATTACCGTCAGGCTCGACATCAAGATATGACTGAACATGATTGTGGAGTACCTGCGGAATTTTATTCTTGTGCCTAAACTGGAAAAAGTCTGTCTGCATCACATCTTTAACCATATAAAATAATATCATTATTTCTGAATTACATATCAGTATTTAAGAACAATATAAATTATAAACGTACCTCCGACATGGGGTTCGGAACCCGACCTGTGGCCTCTACTGGAACTGCTGGTGTTCGTCTCACCTTGCCCAGTCCATGTACCTGCTCTCACATGAGTCAGTAACAAAAGCAGTTCCAGTAAACCAAGAATAATAATATTTCGCACATTTAAAAAGAGAAAGTAATATCGGACCTCTGCTCTGATCTTCAGCTCCCGATGTATGGCCTCTACTGGAACTCTGGGTGTTCATCCCACTTTTACCCGAGGTACCTTGGCTCGTACCTGCTTTACTGGAACCGCTGGTATTGGTGCCACCCTGATTGCCGTCCCTGTATGCCCACACATTTGGTTTGTCTTGCTTTTTTCTAGAGATGCCCCTCTTCTTCGGCCTGCCCTTGCCTCTCTTTCCAACCCGCGGTTCATTTAATCCGGCTTGGCCTGGGTGAAGTTTGTTGTACATCAATCTGGTGATCTCGCACTGTATTGGCTCCTCAGCAGCGTCCAATTCTTCCACTAACTGCCTGAACAACAATCTGTGAGGGGGAACATAGAACCATCCTTCTCTATAACCTCACCGATGTCAAGTGTGCTCCAAAATTGGTGTAAGTATTTTGGAGTCAAAATCTCGCTGGCCTCCATTATACGCTTAAGTATACATGCACAAGGGAGGGAATGAGTTTGTTTCAGGTAATGATTGCATTCCCAATACACATCATCTCCGAGTTGTTGCATCCTTTCCAACTCATTGTTCAATAGATCCAAGCAGTAGTGTGAAACATTGCATCTTAATTGATAGAAAGGGTACTTGTTGTGTTGCCTCCCTATTTTCTGCCTTGATTCTTGCAATTTCTCCCTGTGGAGGAATTCTAACAAATTAATTAAACAGCCTAAATACACAAATTAACTAAAAAGGGGATCAAAATCTAATACCTTATTTGCGTAAGCTGTGTCTCCAGTAACATGTGAACCCTGTGCCACACCGTTTCAAAAGAAGCATTTGGAATGCCAAGCCATTCCTTTAACAACTTGTGTGCGCTCTCCACTCTACAAGTAGTGGTGTTGCCAAAATGCAAATAAGTGTTGGTCCATGCATGCACAAACTTGTGTGCCACCACTAACCATGTCTTCCTAACATACTCTAGAATGGGCTGAAATTGAGACCAATTATGCTCCAGAAACTGTACTTTTTCTTCGTATACTTCCCGATTTGCAGCTTCGATCACTGCTTTGAAGGCATTATACGCGAAACTTTTTGCTACATGGGCATTTCCATTCAAAATTCTTTTCACATTTCTTTCAATATCCCTGTAAACATGCCACGTACACAACAAGTGATGTGAGGATGGAAATACATCATCAAGAGGCCTCATCAGTCCAGGCTCCCGATCAGTCACGATGACACTCGGATGTAGATCTTCGCCATACAAGTTACGGAGCTGCCACAGCGCCCAATGGTAGCTGTCTCCCGTCTCATCACTCAGAATAGCATATGCTATAAGGAATGTCTGATTGCAAGGGGTCATTCCAACAAACTCCACAAGAGGCAGTTTATATTTGTTTGTGTTGTATGTGGAATCTACACAAACAACCAAGGATACGTCCGCAACAGCAACAAAGAATCCGGATGTGCGAAAAACACGTGAGATAACATCTGTGTCTCTTCATCGCACTCCGTGAAGATGATGTATTTGTGTTGTTCTGCGACCTCTAACACCTTTCCCACTACGTCCATGGTAGACAGGTCATCTAGAATTGGAAACCCCGCCTTACGCAAAAAATTTCTGTAGTTGTAGACTTGTTTGCAGGTTACCTTTTCATCGGAAAATTGTGTCCATATCGCCCGTAAAATGTGGACTGCCTTAGTCCCAGCTTTGGAGTACTCCTTAATAAGCTCTTTCACTTCTTCACTCAATGGCCTCCTGACTCGAGGTGGATCTTCAATGAATGGTTGTGCATTCCCAACGGACTTGGATATACACGGATCGCCCACCTATCATATATCTTGTAAATAGTAACACGAAACTGGCATCCGGTCATCTGTGTCTTTGTATTGGCTCGGGCGCGCACGTTTTCATCCACCTGTTAACCTTGGTACTGCCCTCCTTTATGACAAAGGAGTATAGTAGTATTATCCTTGTGCGAGGATACACTTAACTCCATATTGTAGATGTTCGTAATACCCTTTGCATATGCAGCAGCTTCCTTCTTCGTCTCAAAAGTCTCGTCTGTAGCAAAAGCCGGACTATAATCGATTCCATCCCCCTGATCAAACCTATCCTGCACACATTAAAAACAAATTATATCATAACTTAAATTAACTCTAACATTGTTAAACCACAAATAATTTGCTATGAGTAAACATTGTTATATAATCCGATATAATGATCTTATACTTTAAAGATAATTAATATATACTAATAAAAAATTAAAAATATTATTAATAAAAACTCATTATTTTAATAAAAATCCTAATCCCTAACAGCTATACCCATTAACTCAGTTAATATAACAGTATACGTAATTAAAAAACTTTCTCTAATTATCATAAACCTAATTAGCATAAACCCTAATTTTCTAAACAAATATTAAACTACCAAACAAATACTCAAATAAAATAAATACGTGAATTAATTAAATTTATTAAACTAATATAATAATTATTAAACTAATAAATATAAAATATATTAAAAAATTAAAAAAAAATAAAAAAAATGGGTGGCGCCCGTTTGGGCACCACCAATCGGGTGGTTGGCGAGCATTTGCTCGCCAACCCGGACAAAGGTGGCGCCAGATCTGGCGCCACCGTGGCGAAGGCTGTCTCGCCTCCCTGTAAAGGGAGGCGAGTTTATTGCACGCCACCCCCATAGGGGAGGCGCGCTTCTCCTGCGCCAGCCGTTAATGGCTGGCGCGGTCCTCCTTCACCCTCCCCTACTTTTTCGAAAAAAAAAAATTACTTCCATTTTGCAGGGGCATGTCGGTCTTTCGCGGGTGCTCAAATGAAAAAATAAGGGCGTTCAACAGTTCAACCCTAATTATATTGTAATAATTCAATAAATCAGAATTTAATTTCTAGAATCTCTGTCTGTTTTCGTTTTTGCTTCTTCCCAAGTCGAAACCCTAGCTATGGTGAATTGCTGCTTCTAGATGGTACCAGAGCTCCGGCTCAACGATCCAAACCGATAAATCGCTTCCGCTCAAGTTCCGATTACACCCTACGGATTCAATCTAGAAGATAGCAGCTCAATCATGGCAAATCGAGAGAACGTCGATCCAAACCGCTTGACAGAAGAACAACGCTTCGAAGAAGAGAGTCTGAAGATTCATGGTTCTGATCATCTATGCATGATACTTGTGTCAACACCACTTACTGAGTCAAATTATCTTGACTGGAGTCACTCTTTCCAGACGGTTCTTGAATCCAAGATGAATCTTGGATTTGTTAATGGCGTCTGTCTGCCACCAGAACTTGACACTCCGCAGTACTGGCGCTAGAAATAAGTTGATTCCACCGTCAAATCATGGATTATTGCGGCAATGAGTCAAGATTTGGTAAACGGATATATGCATACTCTGTAGCAAAGGAATTGTGGGAGGAATTGGCAGAAAGATATGGAACTACTAATGGAAACATGCTTTACAGAATGTGTAAGGAGAGACTTGGAATTGTTAAGGGAGATGCACCTTTGGTCAGGTACTTCAGTGCACTTAAGAAGGTTTGGGATGAGTACTCTCATTATCGCCCTAAGCTAGCTTGTCTGCATGAAACAGCTAGGATTCTGAAAGCAAGGGAAGATGAAGATAAGCTCGTTGACTTCTTAATGGGACTAAATAAGAGTTATGAAGCTCTCGAGGACAATATCTTAATGATGGATCCTCCTCCACCATTCAAAAAAGCATATCAGATGTTGCTCAAAGCTGAAAAACAGCTTCCTGGAATGAATGCTAAATCACACATTCTCCTGCTCAAATGACAGGTCAAAATGCACCTGTGATGATCACTGTGCCCTCCACTTCTGTTACAAGAGATATTTCAGCTCTTTTCAGCAAAACAACTGACAAGA